AAAAAAACCCAAAAAAACCCGCGCAGACAATGAGAGGAAAAGCTGCGTCAGAGGCAGAGCGGAGTTAATGGTGCCTCGGGAGGGATGCGGAGCTCCTGCACCTTTGGCGGTGCTCTCCCGGCACAATGCTTCACTTTGTGCTGCGGCACCGCAAGCCATGGTGAAGTTGCTAATAATGGCACTAAAAAGAAAATATGCTACATCTGTTATGGATAGCAGTACAAAATTAGCTGATCACACCTCTGACACCCAAGATGTCTTCACTTAAAATACTCGTTGGCTTTACTTTACATAATTTGCTGATTATATTTAAAAGAAATACAATTTTGCAATTACTGTTCTTTCTGGTGTGCTATCTATGCATCATTTTCTTTTTATGTTTATATATTTCTCCTTCATTAGTGCAGTCTGAAGGGTGATTAGATCCCTTCAAACATTTTACAGAGGTTAAACGTTGATTAAGATTTAATTATTACTGTAAATAGCTTGGAATGACATATGGTGCAAAAACCTGACATATGTGCATTTGAATAAATGAAGTGCTATTTCCCATGATGCTTCAGTAGCTGTTTAACAGCTTTGCTGAAGGGTTATGTTGCACCTCATGTTAAGATTGCTTTGATGTTATATTTTGTTGGGTTTTTGCAGCTGAAAGCTAAGAACAGTTTTTCCAGTTTTTAAAAACATTGAATATTTTAAATACCTAAATTGTTTTGCACAAATTTTTGCTAATTTGTCTAACTAGGTTAAACATTTTCAAAAGCATTTCGATTTTTAACGTGGGTTCCTCGCATTGTGTCAGCACCAGCGTGGGTTCGATGTGGAGGGTTTCGAAAATTCCAGGTTTTCCGACGTGTCCTGTCCCGCCTGGGAGCGGGATCTTGGCTTCCCGTGGGGACCAGGAGCTCCACGGATCCTTCCCGGGAATGCAGAAAATTCCAAATTATTTCAGAGCGAGGGAAAGCTTCAGGAGAAGCTGGTGGAGAGGGGGGAAAAAAAAAAAATGGGAAAGGGATGGAGATTTCATGGAGCTGGAGAAAGGGGCAGGAAGGGTCGGGCTGGGAGGGTGGAGTTAAACCAGGCTCTACCCTCGTGGCACTTGGGCTTTGCCAGGTCCAGCTTTGGGCTCTGAGCTGCAGGGAAAGGAAGGGATGGAAAAGTGGGATGGAAAAAGGAAGGGATGGAAAAGTGGGATGGAAAAAGGAAGGGATGGAAAAGTGGGATGGAAAGGAAGGGGTGGGAAACTGGGATGAAAAAAAGGAAAGGATGGAAAAGCGGGATGGAAAGGATGGAAGAGTGGGATGGGAAAAGGAAGGGATGAAAAACTGGGATGGAAAGGAAGGGGTGGGAAACTGGGATAAAAAAAGGAAAGGATGGCAAAATGGGATGGAAAAAGGAAGGGATGGAAAACTGGGATGGGAAACTGGCCTGGAAAACTGGGCTGGAAAAAGGAAAGAATGGAAAACTGGGCTGGAAAAAGGAAAGGATGGAAAACTGGGGTGGAAGAAGGAAAGGATGGGAAGCTGGGCTGGAAAAAGGAAAGGTTGGGAAGCTGGGCTGGAAAAAGGAAAGGATGGGAAGCTGGGCTGGGTGGGAAGGGATGGGAAGCTGGGCTGGGTGGGAAGCGTTGGAGCTCAGACACTCTATAATTCATCATCTCTAATTCTATAATTCATCGAGCACTGCCAGGCACGGAGCGTGCAGCGTTCCCATCCACGCCGGGGAAGGGGGGGCTGGAGGCTGGAGCCCAGCACGTGAAACAGCAGGAAAAGGCGTGATGGGCACGGAATTATCCCATCTCCTCCTTCCCCGAGCTGATCGAGAGATCAGCCGAGCTGCTCCCGCTCTGACCCCGCTCCTCTTTGCCTCCACAGATCGAGACATCCCAGCTGGAGCCAGAGATCGCCATGGCCACCAGCAGTAAGACTGTGGTCTACAACAAAGGCTTGTGAGTGCCCGAGGAGAATCCCAGCCCTGGAGGTCTGGGGAGGGGAGAGGGGAAGCTCCAGACCCCGCCTGGGAGGAAGCAAAAAACAAGAAGAAGAAGAAGAAGAAGAAGATGAAATAACAGAGCTCAGTGATAGGAGCTGCTCCCGGCAGCCCGGGAGCGAATTAACACCTGCAGAGAACTGACACCTCACACCACTCTAAAAGATTCATATTAAAAGTTTTAACCTAGCAACAGGAGCAGCGACTACAACAACAAATAATAATAATAATAATAATAATAATAATAATAATAAAATAATCACGTTGAAACACTTTAGAAGTAGCGAACAGGAGTCAGAGTCAGCGGCACGGAGGGAGCTCGGGGTGAGCCCCCGCAGCCAGAGGTGCTGCAGGACGCAGGTGTCACCCCAGGGCTCGCACGGCTCCGGTCCCCGCTGATGCTGCACAGCTCGGACCCTGCAGACACCGAGGGCTGCGCGGATGGGATTGATCAGGGGATTGATCAGGGGATTGGGAATGCCTGCAATCGATTTCCTGCCCCTTCCCACCGCAGCAGGAGAGCGCTGAAGAGGAATTCCCAGCTGAGTGTGGCCAGCCAGGGGCTCGGCTGTGCCTCCTCCATCCTTCCTCCTCCTCCTTCTCCTCCTCCTCCTCCTGCAGACGCTGCTGGTGACATCTTGCCCTTCACTGCGAGACTGGCTGGTCCTGGATCCCACCACCTGGAATTCCACACGGGCTTTTACCTGGATTTCAAGATCCCGGAAAGCCAAGGTGGCCACGCGTGGAATGCTGGAGCTGAAGTGATGCTGGAGCTGCTCTGTTCCTCTTGTGTCACCCAGCGCAGACCCTGTGACGGGGATGTTGCTGATCTGAGGTGCTTGGCTAAGCCACGCTTTGCTGAGCTGGTGTCTAAGGACAGGGCGTGGTTTGAGTTTGGGTCAATCCCCAGCTGGGCAGGCAGGACAAGGATCATTGCAGGCTCCTTCCAACTGGAATTCTTCTTCTCCTTTTTTTTTCTCCTTCTCCTTCCTCTTCTCCTCTTTCTTCTTCTCCTTCCTCTTCTCCTTTTTTTTCTCCTTCTTCTTCCTCTTCTCCTTCTTCTTATTCTTCT